ATAAAAGTTTTTTCAATTTATGTGAGTTTAAAGAGATCTCAGTGATGCTTAAAAAAGAATAAATTTAACATGAAGACAGTGATTTTAAGTCTGGTTAGTCTGACTGTAAGTCTGATTAATTAGAGTGATTAAATTAACTAGGTGTATACCGTAAAATACGTTGATTTTTGTCTAAATTTTGATTTTTAATTTCTGTAAGATTTTCTTATTTTTTATTAACCCTCAATACTGAAATAATCCCAGGATCCCGGGATCGAATAAGTATAATCCCGAAATCCCGGGATTAGAAATAAGGACCGGGATCGAATTCCCTAATCCCGAGCCAGTAATTTATTTTTGTTCCCAAAGCAAAAAAACTCACTGAAAAGTTGACATTTTGAATCCATTGAGAATGTTAAACAAGTTCATCCACAAAATTATGCATTATTCCAAAAAAAGAATTTCAGGTGATCTTTCAAAAATGATGTTCACTGTATTAGGAATAATGGTAATATTTTAAAAAGTAATAAGGTCTAATAACTCTTATTTTTTGTTAAAACAGTTCAGAAATATTTCAGTTGTACCTGATGTATGATATATTTATATGTAAACTTTCATGACACCAAACACACAAGATTATATATACAGTAGACTCCCCTGTAACACAGGTTCATATAATACGGATTCATATAAAACGGCAAAAAAATTGCGATTGTATTTGTTAAACACGCTAAAAGAAACCTGTATGATACAGTAAAACGTCATCGCCGACTCGTGTCGTGACAGGATTGGTCAAATCTAGACCAATAGCGGATATTGTACAAACCATTGAGTTTAAATGAGCAGCAGACCTACTAAAAACTATTATTTAATGGCCATAAAAATTATATTTATGTTAATGATGTCTCCAAAGTTCAGCAAATTTTTTGCAGAAAAATAACTTATCAGAAAATGCGCCCGCCATTTGGTGCGCCGCTCCATGACGAAAACAAGCTTAAGCAATGTCATCGTCAAATGATGCACACTCAATAAGTAATCCTACAATTTTTTGTTTATAGCATAGTTTATATGGATTATTCTCAAAAAATTATAAGTGTTTTGGAAATGTTGAGTCAAATTAGTCTAGAATCGATTAATTTTATGAAGAAAACCTTTCAAACAGCCATAGTCCCTAAACTGCATACGTGCCGGGCTGTGATTGACTCATGTATTTAAGTGACTCGTACAACATAGAATTCATAAAATACAGAATGTATCTACTATGTTATAAGGGGGTCTACTGTATATATAGATGCAATATACTTAGAATATTTGCAAATATAACAACATTCAACTGCCTAAAAATTCCTTTCTCCCAGCTGAACATAATTATCAAAATACACTTAATATTAATTAGACAATTTCCAAATTTATTTACTTACATTCTATTAACATACACATTATAAAATCAATTGATACTATCATCAACAATAGATATTGAATGAATTAATTAAAATAAGAAATAATTTTATTTTTGTTTTTTGCAGAAAGAGATTTTTTTTATAAAGGTACTATTATGATATTAACAAAATTATAGATTTAATATTATTCATTTAAAATAATACTTATTTAAACTTTATTAATACTTTAGTTTTTTGTTATTTTTACACAAATATATTAATAAAGTGAGAGTTCAAAATTTTTTTATTATAATGTCAATATCAGTTTGGTATATACAAAATTCTTATCATGATAAGTTTTTTTGTCAAACTTGTTCTAATAAGAATTTTTACTTGTCATTTAGTATTTTATTTGAAAAGTACATCGGCTATCCCAAAAACAGACCAAAGCCACTATTCCAAGGTCAAGTCACTTGAAAAGTTGATATGGGGTTTCCCTTTCAAAATAGCAGCCCTTGCCTGCTATATACTGTTTACAGAATGTTTCAGTTCATTTTGTGAAAAACCATTTTAAGAAACTAGATGTGGAAGCCTTCACTTTCTAATTTGTGTTAAACTTCCTCTCACCTCTTTCTTTAGTGTTAAAGAAGCTCAGAAATTGCAGGGTATAAGGTCTGAGCTGTATGAAGGATGTACTAAGAAATTACCACAAATTTTCTCTAAAGCCTGCATAGCTACTTGACCCATAAGAGGCCTGAAGAAGAAACCATTCTTAATTAAGCAATTTTTCTTGTGAATTGCTCCTTTCAGACAAACTGAAAAAGCTTTAGCACAACATTCTGCATTGACAGTTTATTCTCAGAAACCCAATTCTGCAGTAATATCCCACAAGTGTCAAAAAAACAAAATCAACACCAATTTCTTTGAAAAATTTTAAACCCAAAATTTCTTGGGAGGCAGTGAATTGATATTTTCGTATGCCTGACTGTTATTTGTTTTGGGATCAAAAGATTTGATTCAAGATTCAGACCCATCAGTGGTGACTATTCAATTCAAAGAGTCAGGATATAATTCTACTTTCAGAAGAAAAGCTTCAAAGTTTTACATGGCATCGTGTTTTTGTTCTTCAATAAAATCACATGGCATCCATCTGTGTAGTACACATAATGTGTAGGTACACTTTTATAATTTCAAGTTACCTTGCTACATCTACCGTCTTTCGATAATTGTTCAACTCTCACAATGTTTTCCTCATCTACAGATGTTGATGGATGTCCATTTCTCAGCTCATTCCACACACTATATTTGCCATCCTTGAAATGTTTTCACCACTTGAATACATACAACCAATCTGCTCAATGCTTTTTTATCATATGCATCTTGAATCATCTGAAACATTTCCTGGCCACTTTTGTATAACTACACACAAAATGCAATTGCCACCTTTTGTCTGATGATTAGAGATTGTTCTCATCCACCACTCTCACATGCACTTCCCATAAACTGTTATATTTCTCACACACACACACAAAAATGATGTATGCATAATGCTTTCATTCCAATTAACCCATCACATCTGCAGAAATCTTTCCCCAACAGAAACAAACCACTTGTTTTCATAACAATCATACAGTTTTACCAGTCCCCGTATTTTTGGAACAGCTCTCATAACATATTGCAGAATGTTGTGTGTTAATTGTAAATATTTCTTTTTAACTTGAATAATATTCATTTCATAGTTCCCCCAAAAGTTTCTCAAGCTTAACTAATTTATTAGAAAATTAACTGAATAAATTTTTTTACTTATAAAAATTTGCTCATTAAATAAATTATTACAATTACTAATATTTTCAAATGTCTGTAAAAATATATAAGCATTTAAAGTAAGCATTTAGATAAAAAATATTCAGTTAATCTATTCACATCAATAAAATAATAATAAAAATGTTTTTATTAAAATATAAATTGTATATTGTAAATCAAAAATAAGTAAATAATTAAAACAAATAATATTTTACCTGTTCACTTATAGCAAGAGCTACTTTTTCTTCATGCTGCCTCTGAAAGTAATTGAGAGTTTAGTTTTGATTATATTTATTATTTTTTTTAAATTTAAATCTAACCTTAAATCAAACAAACTTTTCTGACTGAAAATGAAGACTTTTATGTTTTATGATGTGAGAATCTGGAAAGCTAAATCTTTGGTTTAGTTTTCCAGAGATATTTTTGTTTTGTTGAACTACGTTTTAAATAATTAAAACAAATTCTGGAAAGCTAAACCTTTGGTTAGCTTTCCAGAATTTGTTTTAATTATTTAATGAATCTACAAATTATTTAACTGACAAAATTTTTCATTTATTTCTGAAATCAGAGAGAAGAGGGAAGTAGAATTTCCTTTCTACGTATCAATTTCCTGAGGAGAGATTTTTCTCTCTCATGTTGATGATGAGATGAGTCATACTCCAATCAGGAGTACGCCTCATCTCACGAATCCTGCCATGAGAGCAACAAATTGACTCCTGACTGGAGAAGAAGATTGGAAAAATAAAAAGGACAAACAGCCCAGTTTCAAGACTCTCGTCCGTTGTTCGACTGAGATAGCCTGTCTGTGCAGATTCTCGCTCCTCCCTGCCTTTACCATCGATGAAAGAAGGAAGTCTCGACCAAAGATGTCTAATTACTTCTAAGAGGTTATTATGCAATATTTTGTAAACTCTCTCTCGACTCAGTAGAGGTGTACTTAGTAGATTCAATAGTAGTTAAGAATTTTCTCATTGTATTTTGGATGGAAATGTTAATCTCATTTATCTTGTAATTCCTGTTTCCTTTATGTCATTAAATTTTGTTGTTTAGTTAAATGATTTTGCATGGAATTATACTTTAGAGGTTGGTTGCCATATTGATGACTCCGTGAACTCTCCTCACTCGAACTATAGACCTTCCATAGGGGATGAAATGGAATATAATTTGTATCACGAACTAAACGCATAAAATTTAGCTGGTGTCAGGAATCCCAATAGAAGATGAAGATCCTGCAATCTGTTAGTCTTCCTAACACAAATACAGTGGTACCTCAGGATACAAAATTAATCCGTTCCGAAACTGAGATCGTATCACGGAAATGTTGTAAGGTGAATCATTTTCCCCCATACGATTACATGTAAAACCAAATAATTCGTTCCAACATGAAAAACATACTCAAATTAAAGCTAAGTAGTAAATTAAAAAAATTAACTATAGTAAGGAAAACACTGAAAAATGCATTTTGTAGTTGTAAATGTATAAATAACTGTAATAGAATAATAATTAATAAAGAAAATGTAGTTTTATTTGCACTTTAGCTCTGAGGATAGACCACGGTGGACATGTAAACTGGTGGCAAAGGAGAGAAAGAGGGGAAATGATACTAAAACTTAATTTACATTACATAATGTAACAATAACTTAAAAATAACTTATAAAAGATAAAAAAAAATTTTTCTGTTTTATATATTTTTAAAAATTTTTTATTCACTGCTTTTTGCTTTCTTTCCTTCACTTCCACCAGCACTTTCACTGGATAGAGGTCGCTTGGTAAAATATCAAAGAGGTTTGGCTTTGCCTACTTTTTAAAATGTTTCTAAAATGACTTAGGCAAATGTCATTACTCTGAGCAGCAATACGGCCAGTGTGAACCTTTTCGGGATGTTTCTTTTCAATAAAACCAGTCGCTTTCTGATAATAATTCAAGATTTCCTTTATCGAGCGATATCCTTCCACGACGAAGCAAACACGTGGACTGAGACCAATGAACAGAAGTGAATAAAAAATGGTGCTGCAAACTAATGTAACATCGTATGGTGAGTTTTTGTTCGCATCGTGGAGCAAAAATTTGTTCGAATTTCATGTCGTATCCTGAAAATTTCGTATGCTGGGGCGTTCGTATCCTGAGGTACCACTGTATAACTTTTAAGCCATCCACTGACAAGGTGAGCAGACTTCCCGGGTCCGAATTCGCAGAGAGGTGACTCAAGAGATAATCTCAGCACTGTGAATTCTCACAATACTATCAAGAATTATGGAAATATTGACATTGATAAAAATAAAATTAAACAGTATCAAAATTAAGAATTTGTATACATTTGGTTTAAATAAAATTCCTTCTTAGACACACATGCTTAGATAGTAATTTAAAAAATTATATATTCAAACAATTCATAATAGACAGTTACACTTAACTTAAAAGTAGAAAAGTTTTAATATTCATCTATTAATTAAAAAAACATATTAGATAATCATTTGCCAAATTTTAATAATCAATTATTAAAATATACATATATATAAATTGCATTTTCTGTACTCTAGAAACACTTCTGTATTAATAAAAGCCAAAGATATAGCAGAAAATTCTTTGGAACTATGGAACTATAGGGCATGACACTTATTTATGTTGTTACATAACTGTTTTATGACTAATACAGTAATCTCTTTATATTTCTGTCATCAATTTTCCATGGAAATGATCTTGGGAGTGTTTTATAGAAAACTAAAAACAGATCTTACCAAGTAAGGATTGTTCAACAATTTCACTATTCTCTAAAGAGACACTAAATCTAGACAAATGAATAATAAGACCTTAAATGCTGGAAAAATTACTCATATTCATAAAAAGTAAGTGTACAGCCAACAAAATGCCTTATTGATTAACAATAAATCACTATTTTGGAAATAAAACTAAAAGAATGCTTTGATTTAACAATATATCAGTATATGAGAATTATTATATAAAATAATGTTTTATGAATATATGCGTTTTCATTTATCAGTCACGTTTTTTCGAATAATCAGGTTCAACAAGTTAAAATGCCTATTGATAAGAATGAAGATGAAATGAAAATCTGATAACTATAATTGAAAATCTGATTACAATAAGCAGTTTTATAAGGATATTCTTAGCTTAACATGTTTTCAGACCTGCCAATTTTTTTAACATTAAATGACTGATAGCAATATCCATGATTACAACAAACAGATTCTATTATATTATTATAATTAAAACATTTTGAATTATAACTTGCATTTTACAAATGAAAATTGATGATGGAATGTTTCTTGCTATTAAATTTAGAAAAGTGATACCTTTTTATCTTCACTTTCAAATATTCCGGTTGCATCAACAATAAGGAAGTCGTCATCAGAATCTTGAGAACGGAAAGAATGAAACTGAGAAGCTTTCTGAAATTTATTACATTTATTACTATATATATCATCAACAAGAAAATTAATTTGTTTTATAAATTTATTAATATTTTTCATTTCAGGTACTAAAAACATTCAAGTAACCCTTTACTTAATAATTAATTAGCTACACTAATTTAAAATGATTATATCACAACTAATTTCCTACTAGATTAATCCAGAAATGAATAATTTTTTAATCTTAAGAGTGAATCTCAAATTTTTATGTACTGAGTGATCAAACAAAAACTTTACTTGTGAAAAAATAATTTGACAACACCACAAACCAGTAATGCTTTTTTCTTATCACAGTCCTGATATGCATCATAAAAAATATTTAAATCTGATATTTATTTACTATAGACTTGAGGAATAACATTTGAAAATCCTCACTGACACCACTAAAAGTACTCCACACAAGTATATTTTTTTAGTCTGATCACTTGTATAATTAATAATTAGTATCACAAAAATAAATTTAAACAGTTTAAGAAATAATAAATCAAAATATACTAACTTTTTTATGTTCTTCTGTAGTACAATGGTCTTTATACTCTTCTGGATTGCTAAAACCCATTCTACATGGTCGACATTTGGGATATTTTTTGTCACGTTTTCTCTAAAATTATAAATAAAATAACTTGCACTGAAATCTGTATCTTTAATTTTAATTTGTTGCTATATCAAAATGATGAATTTGAAAATGCTTTTAGAACAAATTAGAGCAATTCTCACTGTACTTGATAAACAACATGATAACAACAAATTTGAATTTTCATTAAATATACACGTATAGAAAAGTAATACAGTAGAACCTCGATTATCCGCCCCCCGATCAACCGACCCCTCGGTTAACCGACCGTCCTAGTCGGCAAATTTCAAATGTTCGCTAGTGATGTGGCGCTACAATATTTGGCTATGTCTTGGCTACTTCAATATTATTTTTACGTGTTTTAGCTGGCAACACTCATTCGACCATGAAAGGGAGCCAGTATTTAAACGAAGCTTAATTTTCTAATTTTTAACGATACAATAGCGACGATTATTATTTTAAAAAATTTTTGTTAGGCTTAACATCGATGAAAATTCAACGCAAAATAGGTTAATAGCGATATACTAATATACTAATTACTTGGGATATAATAATATACTACACTAATAATGGATTTTTTCATACTTTTCGGTTATCTGACTTTTCAATTATCCGACCAACCCCAGTCCCCAATTAGGGCAAATAATCGAGGTTCTACTGTATTTTAAGATATATTTGATACAATAAGTAAAATTCTTCATAAAAATAAATAAATGTGAACGATCTGAAATGCACCATGCATATGTATCTATAAAATAATATATTCTAAATTCAGCTGACAGTTTACTTTTGCTGTCGACTGTACCGTACAGTACATTTTGAAAGATAATGGTCTAATAAAAAAAATGCAACTTTATGAGCTAATTAATTTCTGTTCCTTTATTTTTTTCAACTTGAGCACAATTCATTCTTGAAACATAGTTGGTTTTTGGAACGAAAATTGATCCTTTAAGAAACCTCATAGAATTTGGATTTTTATTAGACTGTTAACCATTCAAAATGTATATATACATATGCTCATAACTTTTTAAATTGCCATTTTCTTTTTAGAAAATTTTCTCAATAAAAGTTTATTATTTTTAATAAAGAATACAGAAATATAAAATGATTAGGAGTTCCATTTGAAATTACTAAGTTGTTCCCTGCTTTCATGGCACTTCTTTCACAACCATATTGCAGCGCCAAATTAAAAGTCAATGGTTCCAATAAGTTTAAATTTGACTAGTCTGTATTAGTATTTTCGAATGTTCCTTCATCACTCTCAATATGGGATGGGTCTTCACCTTGGGCTCCCTAGCACACATCTCTGTTTCTCCTGTAGACAGTGACACGAACTATACCTTTCTGGTTAACAGTGTTAAATATGTAAAGTATAACTTAGTTTTGAAAAATACTAAATACCAAATAAGAGCTGGACAAATATTGATTATTTTGTCTTTAAAATAAGTAAAATACTGTCACTTTTTCTCAGTCTATATCTTAGGAAGCAAATGTAACCTAATAATGTTCAGTTTTAAATAGTTGGGTGGTTAAATTGCAGTGTATATTACAAGGGCCTAGGCATACCAAACAGTTTTAAATAACCTCAGCTAATATTTTTTTACAGTTTTTGCTCAGCTACAATTATGAAAACATTGTAAAAAAGTTATCTTTTTAAACTAGAGACAATCAATTACCCGATGTTCTTTAGTACGACGATGGGACAAGAAATTTCCAACAAACGGACATTCACAAACTGTACACCAGTTTTGATTTTTCTTACCCTTTCCTGTCCCTCCTTTGGAACTAAAAAGAATAAAAATTCATATTATAATATATTTAAATGTAAATAATATTTTAAAATTTCTGTGTGAATTTTATAAATTCACACTTATTACAATTTTTGTTTTGAATAAAAAGTTGTTTGGCCATTTAAAATTTCTGCAATAATTACATAATATCAACTTAAAAGTTATATAAATAATTAATTTAAAAAAAAAACATTTTAAAATCATCTGTAATTTAATATTATGTTTAATAAAATAGTACAAAAATATATTGAAAACGTCAAGCAATAAAAAAAAAAAGAAAAAAATAGAAAACAGCACTGAAATACTTACATTTTTGACAAAAAACTTTTAGATAAATAAATACTTCATTATAAATTAATTCATTTACAATTCTTAATAATTATTCAGATAATGATAATTATAAACTCTCAATACAAATTAAAGTGCACTGTTCAAAAAAGTACTGATTTGCTTATTTATGATAAACTATCTTCTTTAATAAAATAATAATGTAAAAGATATTCATCAATTCATATACAATCACTCCCCATCTTATGTAAGAGCATGAAACTTTGTTCAAGTTCAATTTTACACAAACTGGAATTTCTCTAAATGCTTATGCAGCACTCACAACTATACATATTGAACTAGACTGAAGCTAGAGAGAAATATTCAACAAGATGTAAATAGATGAGATAAAGATTAGTTAGGAGAAAAAGACATAAAATTCAATTTTTTTTTGTTATCTTGTGCACAAGAAAATAAATCAGCAACGAGTTACTCAACTTTCCCAGCAATATTTAAAATTTTGGTGGCACCATATGTTATCATATTTTATTAAAAAAACTTTATATTTTCAACTATTATATCAGGTAACCAAAAAAGTTCTGTCGTTTTTTGTTGAAAGAAAACAAACATAAAAATGTATAGGAAATAACACAATTTATTCATCAAAATAACCACCCTCACATTCAATAACCTGTTCCCAACGGGAAACAAGCTTATAAATTCCATTTTTATAAAAGTCACGATTTTTAGAGTTGAAAAACTTCCCTAATTCCGTTTCTATAACCTCTCTATTTCTAAACTGTCAATTTCGCAGATGATTATCTAGGCTTAAAAATAGGTGATAGTCAGAAGGGCTAATGTCAGGGAAATAAGGAGGGTGCAAAAGAGGTTCCCATCCAAGGGTCTGAATTGTGTCAGAGGTCACAC